CGTGGGGCGACTTGAGCTTTGTTTTTTTTTTTTTTTTTTTCTTTGATTGGTGCCACATCTGGGACACAAACATGAGGGACAAGTTGAAACCCAGCCCTGTGACATCCTAAACAGCGGGAGGCTCAATTGCGTGCCCACCCAAACCGATTGCCAACGCTGTTGGCAACAGGCGTTCAAGTCCTGGACAACGCGGTACTTCAAAAAGACTTTGGCAGGAGCAGTTTTGGCAGATAAGTGACCAAAAAGAGGCTTCAAGCTGTCTACCGCCACTCCCACTTGAGGTTTATTGTCAAACTAACCATCAAACAAGAGAATTACACATTCTCTTGCATTCAAAGCAACCTGATAACTTTGCCTTAAAGTGTGCTACCGTCATGCTAACACATAAAGGGAAACCCCATTGACGGGCTAACAAATAGCGTCTCCGGAAGGGGTTCGGGGGGGTGAGGAAGTCCCCGTGAGCTTGCAAAGGGTTAACCAAACTCTTATTCCTTCCTCCCCGAGAGCAAGCAGGGGTGTGGCTTGCCTTTTTTTTTTTTTCTGGACACCCGCCACCACGCTTCCCTCCCTCCCTCTCTCCTTTCATCTCTTCCCTGCCTCCATCCCTCCCTTCCCCTTCCCTCGCCGCCTGTGCACGCCAGTCGCAGGGAAACGCTCAGGAAGTGCACACAATGAAGCTGTGCGGCAGAGAGAGCGCCGTCAGACGCAGCAGCTCCGCAGTGCCACTTTTGCCCCAAGCTGTGGAGGGAGGAGGGCGGCCAGGAGCCCACTGAAAACCCCCCCCAACCCCAGGCTCGGCTTTCGGTTCCACGGTTTGCTCGTTCCCGCAGGTGTTCCTGAAGGAGGCCCTGGAGCAAAGGCTGGAGAAGGAGAGGGAGGAGGTGCGGCACAAGGCTGGCATGGTGATCCGCGCCCACATCCTCAGCTATGTGGCAAGGTGAGTGGCAGTGACAGTTGTCAGGGTTTGTTTTGTGGAAAGGGAAGGTGGCGGTGGGGGTGAGGGGGCGGTGGGGTTACATGCATGCCTTCGGGCATGTTTGTGCATGCGCTGGTTACTGGGATGATGCAAAAAAAAAAAAAGTTTGGAGCAGGACTTTTAATTTAATCACGCGACAATGAATGCACTTGTCTCCGTGCGGTTAATAAATGGCAATCATGTGGATGCGAGCGCCTGGAACTGACCAAGGCAGCAGATTCAGCATTTCAATCTGCACACGCAGACAAGCTGTTGAAGCGTAGCATCGACATGGATAGACGAACAGTTTAGGGCTGCAATTTATAATTATTCTCGGAAGTGATTCATCCGTTAGTTGGTTTGTCAATCAATCCATGAGTCAGATGAAAACAAAAACAAAACGGAGTGACATTTATTAAAAAAAAAAAAAAAAAAAAAGTGTTGTTTTCCAAAGTACAAAGTAAAAGCAGATGTTTGCAAACGTTTGATTTTGACTCAACACAGAATATTCCCTCTCTTTTAATGGAGGGTGACAGAAATGGGGGAATTTTTACTGTTGTGGGGGGCAGGGGGGCTGCAATTCCGCTGATTTGGATGATTTCAAATTCAACACTGTCTCAAAACGATGAGCAAAATAATGATCGATTTGAATTTGGTCATGAATTCGTCGATTTAATCGTTGCACCCCCATTAAGACCCTTGCACTGCTCCACGTCATCATAAAGAAGACGATTCAGCGCACTCGTGTGATATTGAAAAAATATTCAAGCGGCTTTAAATTCAGCATGCCAAGAGAGCAACTGGGATGAATTTCGAATAACTGTTTCCTCCTACTCACATTTATCCACTACAATTGCTCCTTATTACCTCTTCGTATGCAGTTAAACTTTACTATTCAACTACTGTGCTGCATTCGTAACACTTCTTAGCCCAACTAGTAGGCATGTGTCACACACAAGTCGCCTGCTGGACGCTACTAGTAGCACAAAAATGCCCACTTGTGGTTTTGCCTCATCAGTACAATCCTACCAGGTAACATCCAGCACTTTGCTTGTCATACTTGTTGTGCACAAATGCCGACTCGTCCGTTTTTCTACTCGTAGGCCAAAGTTGTCCTCGTAGTGTTCAGAAATTTTAATAGTGGAAAGCAGAAATGGGGGATGGGGGGCGGGTCAGGGGGTGATGGCCAATGACGAGGAAGACAAACTCACGAGTGAGGGAAAATGAGTGCACTAGTACCTCAAATCATAGTGCTCACTTCTGATTGAGACTCTCAGACCGCTGAAATCATATTTAATTGAAATTTGAGAAGGGAAATATGTTGAAAAATAAAAAGCTTGCAAGACCGACAAAAAGGGGCGAAAGTGTGCAATTTCAGCACAGAATCCCCCCCGCCCCCAAACTAAAAAGAGCACATTTATGAAGAAACACGACCTCGACGCTTTATTTGCATCAGCGGGCCCTTGTAAAGCAACATGGCCTTGAGTTTGACCGCGGTGCTCCAAAAACTTCACTCCACAAGGGCTTTTAAAAAAATTTTGGACTTTGGAGGTTCCACTGTTATTAGGTGTGATAAATCCTTCTGTCAAGTGAACAGAAATTTTCATTTGTAACTTTGACGCACCACAGACTAGATAGTTGTCCCACAACCAAGTTTTGAATCATTCAAATCGCAGAGTACCGTCTTTAAAAAGAGGCTTCAAATTTGTGAATAAATTAATCAAGCCGTTATTTTTGATCTCCGAGGCTGTGGGCGTGTCCATCGAACATGTTGAAACCGTGCCCCGGTCAGCTGTCATCCGTCACAGAAAAAAATAGATGCTACTCGGTCTAACATCTTTCTTCTGCCGACTCATGACGACATGTTTGAGCCGTGTGAAAACACATCGGCTTCAAACCTATACTGCCTGGAATATTCGGCGTGAGGCTTCTCAATGCGACGACGAGGCGCTTTGCTCTAAAAGCGGCCAGCTCTTTTTCCGCCTTTCTCTCGGTGATGCGCCTGCACTCACAGCCAGCAACGAGGCGCTCTAAAGCGCACACACAATCCAAAGCAAAGATGCACTTTTGGAGTGTAGGATTAGCGAGCTAGCTTAACGAGCGCTTTCAACGTCTGAAATGATTCTGTCAATTCGACAGCACGAGGTGCATGACAGCGTTTTTTTATCTTCTTCCCTCCGGAGCTGACTTAAAAGACAGAGCGGCCCGAAAACGCTCGCCGAAGCCACAAGTGCAGCCTTTGTGTTATTATATGTAACAGTATCTCCGTCTCGAGATGAGTCACAGGCCAATGGCGTGATTACGGCGGGGACGGGGGCCAAACTCGGGGGGTGAAAGGGTCAGCGCATTGTGTGTGGGCCTTGACATGTTTATGGCGCGCGCGCGCGTCTGCCGCGTGCCCGTGCGTGTGCGCGCGCGCGCGACTCGGCTTAGTCACAGGGCTATACACCACAGCCCACACAACCGCATGCTCATCAGACTGTAAACACGCAGCGCTGCGAGCCCTGTTTATTTAAACCCGGGATGCCAGTGGGTGCGAGGCCTGCGGCGTCACACGCATGCTTGTGGTGACACGCCAGCCATGTTGACGGCTGTGTTTCGCCCTCGTCTGGAAAGACAATAGATTGATAGATAGAGAGCAGGATAGAGCCGGAGGGAGGGAGAGCCCGATCGAGGGAGAGGTAGAGCAGGAGGTCGAGTCTGACAGAGCAATGGATAGAGAGGCAGAGACGGACAGAGCGACAGAGCAGCGAAAGAGTGACAGAGACAGATCGACAGAGCAGCGAAAGACTGACGGGGTCACGGAAGAGAGCGCGTGAGAGAGATGCAGTCGATGAATAGAAGAAGAGCAATAGATGGATCGAGGCAGCGCTCTAGTTGGAGAAAGACGTCAAAAGACGGCGAAAGGGCTACGGGATCGGGCGATAGAGCGATCGAGAAACAGATAGACGGGCGTCAATATGGATGGATGGATAGAAAGAACAAGACCGATAGAAGGCTTTAGTGATCGACGGGGTCGAGCGAAAGCAACAAAGTGTGTCATCGAATCTGTTTCCCCGCCTCCCAGGAAGCAGTACAAGAGGGCCCTGGCCAGCGCCGTCACCATTCAGAAGAACTACCGCGCTCACTTCTGGAGGCGCAGCTTCCTGCGCTTGCGCTCGGCCTCCGTCGTCCTGCAGAAGCACCACCGCGGCCAGCTGGCCCGATCCCTCTGTCGGCAGCTCAGGGAGGAGGAGGAGGAGAATCGCAGACGCCGGGAGGAGGAGGAGGAGAGGAGGCGCTTAGAGGAGGAAGCGGAGAGGAAGATGGAGGAGGAGAGGAGAAAGGAGGAGGAGAGGCGGAGGCTGCTGGACGAGGAGCTGGAGAGGAAAGCCGAGGAGGAGCTCATGAAGGTGGAAGAGGAGGAGCAGAAAAAGGCTGCAAACGGGGAGGTCAAAAGGTCATTGAGCCATGTTTACATTGGAGACGAGAAGCGCGTTTAGAAATGAGAGACCATCGCATAGCATCGTTTCACTGAAATAAATGCAAGACTGGCGCAGTCACAGCTGACACAGAACAAAAAAGAACAGTGAAACGTCAAAAACGCCATAGACGGGCTAACGGCAATTCAAATTGGCGCTGTCGGATCCGATTGGCAGACACTCAAAACGCCTCGAACTCACAATCGGGCGCAACAACAAAATGCGATCATGACGTGATGTCTCACAAACTGACTTCACTTCCTTTTTTTCGTAGATGAATGGATGTCCGGATGGCAAAATAAAAAATTTCCCTTTGTGCTTCAGCGAAGTAACGCACTTGTTTGACCTTTCTTTCAGGAACTCGCTGCTGCTGAATGGTGCTTGCCAGAAGGTGAGAATAATGAAAACATTCTCATTCAGTGTAGTAACGCACTTGTTTGACCTTTCTTTCAGGAACTCACTGCTGCTGAATGGTGCTTGCCAGAAGGTGAGAACATGAAAACATTCTCATTCAGTGCGGTCTTGTATTTTTCGAATGAAGTGCAAGTGGGGCATTGGTCCAACAGATGGCGCCGTGTTGAAAAAAAGCCTGAAACAAACAACACAAGCAACAAAAAAAAAAAAACAAAAAAAAACCTTTTTCCAAACTGGCACACATGATTTATTTGACGCCAACAAAATTCTTCCGAGCAGCAAGAAGCCGTGCCAGCTTGACCTTCTGAGCAAGTTCTGCTGATTCATGTGGCTGCTTGTGCAAGCCAGCAAAAAATAAGAAAGAATTTAGTTGCAGAGTTTTATAATGAATCGCATAGAGCAGTGAATCCCAACCGCACGTCATTATCCAATTTCACTTAATTAGTGTAAGAAATATTTACTTGCGACAAATTCCGTATTTGTTTTCATCTCTCCTTGCCAGCGACGTGTAGTGACAGACAGAACAACAAAATTCTCTTTTACCACCGCCGCATGCCATCCTTTCAGTACTTTTTCGTGACATTTTTGTTTGGTGCTGTGCCATGAGGTTTTTTCTTGGGTAAAATATGTGACTTGGCGCAATCAAGGTTGGGAAACGCTGACAACATTCGTCATCCGGGCAGTTTTGTACTTCACCAGAAAGGAAATTGGAATTCAAAAAGCATATGCGGGAGTCGTGCAGTGACCTTGATATGTCTCTCTGCTTTTTGTTTATGTCCTTCCATGGACAAAAGCAGGCGCTACCGGGTACCATTGGTAGTACGGGGTCAGGTTAGCGTTGCAAGCATTTCTGGTCATCCATCGGCTGAGCATATTTATACTCCATGGTCTTCACTTGACTGTTTACGCTTCAAAGTTAAATACAGCTGACCTTCATCTCGACAGAGCGTGGCCGCGTAACACTCATGGTGTGCGTACACGCCAGCAGAATCGCCGAGAAAGACGTCAGACCTTGAAATTAAAAGCATGCAGTGTAAAATCAGTTTCAAAAGCAACAATCAACAAGCGTGCAACAGTTTCAAGTGTGACTGACAAATAAGTCACCCAGGGGGTGAAAGAACGTGTGTCGAAACTGCCATTGTGATGTGATGCTTTTATTTTGAAGGCCTGGCTTTAGAAAGAATGTTACGACCACTGTTGCCTTGTTGTTGCCTTGAGTTGTTCATAAAAGCTTTCATTGTGGACGTTGTTGTCTCTTGAAGCCTTTTTACCCAATCCGACAATTCGATCATATTTTTGTGTGTCTGGAACGGATTAATCGGGTTTCCTTTGTTTCCTATGTGAAATATGCCTCTGGATTTGGCACGATTGGTTTTTTGTCAAACACAGGTCACGCACGAAACCGAAGGTACTATTGAAACGTGAAGCTCATCGATTTTGATGTCATGTATCGTTCGTTATCTGTCCTCCAGAAGGCGCTGTCTCAGACCGTGTCGTACGGCCACACCGCCGATGAAGAGAGCCGTCAGATGGAGGAGATTCTGCGGCTGGAGAGAGAAATCGAACGCCTGCAGAGGCAGCAGGAGGACGGCGTGTCTCTTTTGGGCGAGATCTCCCGCGAGGACCTGCGCCAGATGCGAGAGGCTGAGATCTATCGACTGGAAAAGGAGGCCTCCCGTGTGGCGACCGAGTTCCTGGAACTTTTGGACTTTGGTGCTTTGGAGCCGTCGCTATCCAGCGAGGAGAACCTCCACGACCCGACCGAATCCACCGCCCCTCTGGCTGAGGAGGAGGTAGACGAGGGTTTCCACGCCGAGGACGAGTGCGTTCCTCTTCCTGACTTACCCGCGCCAGCTCCGGTTCCCCTGGACAAGGACGTATTCCAAAGCCTGCCCCCTCCTCCGCTAGCATTTTCAGAGGGACTCTTGGTCAGCCCTCCCATGGCTTCTTCCAACAGACTCGATCGTATCCCGGACTCCCAAATTCCCTGCTCTGCTCCTCCTGGGATGACTAACGACAAGGCTTCGCCCTTGGATCCCCAGAGCGAGGAGGCGTCCTGCTCCAACTTGCCCGACGCAGAGTCTGACTACGACCAGGAGGAGTTTGAGGAGGCTCACGGGAGCTCGGGCGCGAGCATCAACGACGGCCACATCACCGATGAGGAGCTACTGCGCAAGTCGTCCTGCACCCACAACAGCCTGGATTCCTACAAAGGCAGCTCGGACTCGGTGAGAACAAGGCGGCGAATGTAACTCGGCTCTGTTCGCAGCAAGCGGCAGTGAGTGAGCAAATTCTTCAAAGAAAAGGCTTCAACCTGAAAACATCATACAAAGAAAATGACACGTTGTCTCTTCAAAACAAGCGCATTATTTTGAATGTTTGCTAGCTTATGCTAACTGACGATGCAAAATGCCATACATTAAGAGTCCGCAACCATTTTTCCGCCACGGACCGGTTTCTAAACTAGGTGCTTTTCACATACCGGCAACCGTTCGCAGGTGACATCGTATTCGAACTGCTAAAAAAAGAAAAATGATGAAGGCAAGCTCACCTCATCGGTTGGATAAAACCTACTGAACCCCACAGGAACAAGCACTTGGCAAGCAAACCGTAACAGAACCCAGGCTCTGTGGGGCGACCGTCTGTCTCACTTGATCTGGTTGAGATGGAGAGGCTAAGTAGGGCGGAGGGAGCTAGATCGAGAAAAGGCAAGAGACGGGTTGAGCAACGAGAATAAAAGACACAGCAACGACCGTATCTACGATGACGATGATGATATTGAAGATATACGAAAAAATGAATCTGCTACTCCTGACTTCATCAATTGGCGGTCCTCTGTTACATAAGAGGATTGCTCTGCTGCCATCTTGTGGCATCCTCGTGCCAAGGAGCTATGTTGAAATGACGCTAGGAGCTCTATGAAGTCTAATGAAAAAGTAGTGCTCTGCCACCGTCTTGTGGCATCTGTCGGTAACTCTGAACCATTTTAGGGGTGGTGGTGGTGGGGCGGTGGGGG